TCATTTCATGAATAATAGTTAAAAACATTTGTCCTAATAATTAAAAATGCCCAATTTTGTAACAATTTAAGCAGTAAAACATTTAAAATATTTTAAAATTACAAAAATCAACAAATGTACAAAAGATCCATTTTAATAATTATGAATTATGCAATGAGCCTAAATTTCCCACTGTGTAAATTACTGTCCACGTTCAGGAGAGGGAATCAAACTGTGGGATTTTTACACTGATAACAGACACCTGTACCGCTAACACATTAGAAGAGCCATCTTTGAATAGAAACAGGGAGATGTTTTAGTTGAAAATTGTGTTTTTAAAGTAATAAAATTATGTGGGGTTGCTCCATAGTATAGTGGTTAGCACATCTGCTTTACACGCAGAAGGTCCTGGGTTTATGCCACAGATCATAACCCTGGTACGCCAGGCCCCGGGGTACTCTCTGTGAGTGTGTGGGAGGAGATGCCCCGCCTTCAGATATTCAGTTCTTAAAAAGAGAAATGGCAACATCCATAGGTCAGGGGTGGATGTGTGTGTGTGTGTGTGTGTGTGTGGGCGGGGGGGAGGGGAATCAAACAGGGGGAAAAAATTTTAAAAAAATAATAAAGTAATAAAATTATGTAAGAAGATGTTACCACTTTAATTCTAAATCCTAAAAAAGTAGAGGACACAATGGCAATTAAAAATAAGTCTTCTCAATTCTGATCCATATTAGTCTCCTAGAGAGCTTTAAAAAAAATACAGATGTGCAGGCCTTACCCTTGAAGTCTGACTTAATTAATCTGGATGAGGTATGTGTGGTATGCTACATTTAAATTAAAAAATAAATTTTTAAAAATTCAAAAAATTAAAAATAAAATAAAAAGATACAGCATGTGAAAGAACTGAAAAAAATGTCAGAAAACAACGCTTCAGTTTGAAATTCATTTCACTGATTCACTTTATATAAAGAAATCATGACCTAATAAAAGAGAAGTGGAAATAAAAAAAAGCTCTCCGACAGTTCTAAATGCAGCAAGCATTAAAAACTACAGTCATACACAAACTATAAATAGTTAATTAGGAACAATGATTATGGGGAGTAAAAGAATAAGAGAAGGGTACAAAGAGTCAAGATACATTTGGTAATATCCTAGATAAGTCATATTTCATAAATATGTATTAAGATGTGTACAACATAGCTTTTGCCCAAGACATTTAGAAAGATTTTTTTTTAAATAACACAAATGACAATAAAATATAGTAGAATGTCATCAAATTTCATTAAAGAGCATATACAAAAAGTTCTGGGAGTTCAGAAGTCACAAATCTATACAGAAAATAATATGGTCAAAAAAATAGAAAGAATGAGAAAAAAGAAAATATACATAAGCATTTACTACCACTGACTAGAAAATATATATTAGGTTAATAGTACACAGAAAAATCATATGTAAATAAGAATATTCAAATTCTTTTTAAATAGAGATTTGCAATTGTAGTAATTTGACTATTGGAAGATTTTGATATGAAAGCTCCCTTTAAAGCATTAGAAAAAAAATTATAGCTGAAAGCAAAACTTGGACTAAGATCTAGCAAATGGAAAGACCATTAACAAATTAATCCAACAGAGTCCCTTGGTTCTACTAAAAGGTTTATTTTAAGTAAGACCCTATGCTTTTCTAAGGTATGTCCCACAAAAAAAATGACTAAAATTTGTCTCAGGTATAAAAAAAAAAGAGAAAAGGTGTGTGAAATTTAAGTACAATATCTCTTTACCTTCTACTGGGAAAGAATAATCATGTTAATAAATTAAGGACATAGCTTACGAAACTAATGTTTATAGTAGAAAAGTATACCTGTTATTCAAATTAATCAAACAAAAATAGAATTCAAAACTGATGCTTCCAAATAAAGTTAACAGCCTTAAAAATAGCTGTGAAGCTACAAAAGTAACTAATGTTGATATTTAAACTTTACAGTAAAAAGAATGATAAAGTCAAGAAAGTAAATCATCAGATAGGATTTGACAGTAACTAAAAAAAAAGCAAAACTAGGTTACAATATGTCAACCTTAACCTACTTCAACTATGAGACAGTATTTTTTTCTAATTAGCAAAACATTTTCTTTCATAGTACTTTCATCTTTGAAAATTACTTTCTGTATGAAGATGTTTTATCAGAAGTTAGAAACTCAACACAGTTCTCATACCAAACTTTTATATAGTGATAACCATACTGGAACTGACGGTTGATAGGCTGCTTTAAAGAAATGTTTCACATGAAGAATATGAAACATGTGTTAAGTCCTTAAAAAATAATAGAAAGATATTTGAGCAAAATGTAGACAATCAGAATATCTGAAAGTCCTTTTAAAAATCATATACAGCAGGTCCTCGAATAACATCCTTTCATTCAAATTCCTTTCATTGATGAGGAAAAAAAAAAAAGATTCCCAGCTGGGGCCACTGTCTGTGTAATATTTGCACGTTCTCCCCATGTCTGTGTAGTTTTCTCCAGGTACTCCACACCCCAAAGATGTGCTCATGAAGTGATGTGGCATGTCTTAACTGTCTCAGTCTGAGTGTGGGGGTGAGTAAACCTTGTAACGAAAGGGCATCTTGTCCAGGGTTGGTTCCCATCTTGCACCCTGAGCTGCTAGGAGAGGCTCCAGAGGCTCCGGTACCCTGCAACCCTGAACTGGAATAAGCGGGTTGGAAAATAATTACCTTACTTTTTTAAAAAAATCTTGTTTTTATTAATCTTTCTTAGATGTAGGTATAGCGCACATTTATTTCAGTGTTTACTATCAGAAGTGTTTTGGGTCTTATTTAGAAGTTTGGTGATGTTTCTGTGACCAGAAATGTGCCATAAGAACTTAACTCTTGTTCTTATCAGTTAGCCTATGGTAAAATTAGGTTCATTAAACACCGTTTTGCTGAAAGCCAGTTTCCAAGAGCCCATCAACAACATTAAGTAAGGACTTAATGTTCTTTTTATAAAGAACATTTTTTTCTTTTAAGTTACAAACAAAAATCGAGTAAGGTTGAAAATAAAGGTAAACTCTTCCTCGGGCTCAAAATAAACAGATTATAAAATCTTCATGTCTTCCAACATATCATAATCCAATGAGAATAAATACCAACCTTGTTCTTAAATATATTCTAGATAGCTTTGGATGACTATATTTTTCATCAATACAACTGGGCATAAACTTAGGGCAAGGAAAATAAAATAAACTGTATGACCATTGGGGTAAAAATTAGAACAGTTTTGGAATTTGTGTTTAGCAGGCGAGCACTCAATCTTTGATTCTATTTTTCAGCACTGTTCTATTCAGAGGATAAAGCACCCTGTAGAACTGGCTCCCCATATTCATTAACATTCATAATATTTTATAGTAGTGATAAGTGAAAAACAGCTGCTATCATTACAGAAGGCTATTTTTCTAGTTACAAAAACGAATATTATTCTTTAATATATGTATTTCACATACATTCACACAAAAAAGAAATAGTTAAAATTTCAGAGATAATAGGGAAACTAAAATCATTTAGTCACCCTGGGTTCTATGCTGGAAAATCTAAAGTAGGCTTCAAAGGACTATGAACCACCCAAAATTGCTTGTAAAATTTTATGTACAGGGTTATTTTTATGGAAAGAAGGTCCAACCACAGCTTTCAATAGATTCTCAAAGAAGTTTGTGATTCAAACTTTTTCTGGAAACATCCAAGTCTGATGAGGTTCCTCCCCTAAGATTAGCACTCCAAAGCAATCTGTACATTCATCATCATACTGTATTACACTATACCATAACTACTCAGTAATTTCTGTTATCTGCCTTGCCATATATATTATAAAAACAGCGTGAGCAGAGAACATCTCTGTTCTGTTCATGGTTATATTTCCAGTATTCTACCTGATGTATAAGTGATCGAAAACCAATTTCTTCAATGAATGAATGAAGTGGTCATTTATGTAATTAAATTTTGGCCAAATTTTAAAAAATGCTTTCTGAATAAATGTTCCAATTATATATTCTTAGTCAATAAGAATTTATAATTCAATTAAAATAAACTCATTTAAAAAATGTAAAAAAATAAACTTATTTTGAAGCTAAGTTTTCCAGAATATATTAAGGACTATTAAGTTATAGAGCATATATCTTCCATAAAACGTCTTTGTAGTTATTCAGTAGTGTAAGGTTTGAATGGGTTTACAAACAAATAGAAACTTCCACAAGGACACTGCAAGTCTGCTTAACTGAATGAAATTGTAATCTGTAAATCAAACATTTCGACATGATCTCACATAAAATAACTAAAATCCTAATCTTATATTCAAAATAAGAATTTAGGAGAAACTGGGTCTTTTCTAACACCATGTAGAATTTTTTGTAATGTGATAACAGACTACAAATCAGAAATAAATTTTAATAATTATTAAACTAATAAACTATTTAAGAGCTTTTTTGTTTTCTTTATCTTTCACTAGTTTCTCTGCTTGATATGCCCTTTTTCCTCCTCTATAAAACTTTTTTGTACCTGGGGTCAAACACCGCTACCCCATGTCCCCAGCTTTTTTTTTTAATTTTATTTTATATTTATACTATATCACAACAATAAATTTAAACCTATTCAAGAGCTTTTAAAACGAACTTAATTTGATATATACTAGTATTCATTCCTACACCTTGATCTACTATGTTGACAAAAAAATATTTCAACATTTTCTAAACATTATCATTTTCAAACTTGTGAGTGGCCTTTCATTGATTTTGTCTAACAGAAAATTTGATTTTGCTTCTCTGTAAATGTCTCTGTAAATATTGGTCTTTATGGTTTTTGTTTGTTTAGCTAAGACTAAAATATCAGAATAATAACATTACTAAACAGATGAATCCGGAAGAAAAAATAACCATGTAACTTTAAATATATTCACACTTCTTCAGCTAACATTGCACACTAAAATTTATCCTTTAAAATTCTAACATTATTTCTAATGGTTTACTTAATGGACATACCGGAAGCTGTGAATGCCCTGAAGTTCCTGCTGTAGAACCTCCTGTGTTGTTGCTATTAAGTCCAATGCTCCAACAAATTCAGAAGTAGATAACAACACCTGTACAGTAGGCTGAGTCTGGTGTACAGTGGCCATTAACTTCAGTTTATTGTACACTTTAACACAATTATTTCTGGTAAGTGCCAGTCTTAAAATGTGTAGTGGTCCTTCACACATTACTTTATCAATCTGTGCAATTTTATCACGAAGCATTTTTACAGCCTGGGAAGTTTTCTTGAGGTAGTCCTGCAATTCGTGTTGAGAGGTCATTGCATGAAAAAATGCTTCTGAACGTAGAGAGATCTGATGAGCAATGTTTACTTCCACAATATCCAGATAATGGCTCAGCTTAAGAGGGAAGGAAAAAAAATCATGGAGTATTATAAGTATACCTTCCTTGACTATCCAAATACTTTCTGAAAATGATATAAGATTTTCACATGTATTTTAAATCCCATTGTATAAACTGTTTAATTATGGGATCTTTGATATTGGGGATAACAAAATAGAAGGAAGATGAAAGGTACAGCCCAAAGATTAATAAATATAAGACAAAAGAATAGAAGATGATTTACCTTCTTCTGTTCCTACCATTACTGCCCTCCAAACACCAACTACTTTCTAAAAAGTAAGAGTACCCGCAATCATCTCAGATTATAATCTAGTTTCAGAAAATCTAAGATCTGAGAGAGAATGATTTCCTTAACTCCCACACATCATTGCCATCACCAACATCACACATCACTTATCTGACTAAAAGATGATTATAGTTACCATTTATTGACTTCCTCCTTCTATGTACAGGCACTAGTATTTCATATACATCATTTTCTAATTTAACAATCTCAGAATACAGGTATTATTATTTTACAGATGAGGAAACTGAGGCTCAGAGACATTAAATCACTTGAATAAAGTCATGTGATTAGTAAGTGGCAAAATCAAAATTTGAACCCAGGTATGACTCAAAAGCTGAAGTTCTTTTTTTTTTTTGAAGTTCTTTCTACTATACCAAGCTGCCTCAAAATGGAAAGAATCCGCAAAAGACAGATTGGTGTCCAGTCACAAATTATATAAAGTACTAACATAATTTGGATCTTTTTTCCAGACTACGTATTTTACATTTCAAAAATTATTCTTTTATTGAATTGTAAAATTCAGTTGATTTCCAATGTATTTTCCTCTTAAAAGGTTGACAAATGCCTTAAACATTAGTTTATATATATTTTATTTGTAACACTACCAAGATTAATTCCTAGATTTTAATATATTAAAAATATTTTCTAATTTCAAATACGGACTTCTAAAACTTGACTTATCATTTCTTCCTTTCGAAGTGCATATGACTCTTTTGTCTACATTATCTTTCCATTTTTTCTCTCATTTTTTCACTTACAGATTCATCAACACATAGCTAAAAATTTAGGGATTATCACTGAACATCTCAAGAGAATTCATTCATAGCATTTAAGGGTTAAAGGACTTTCAATATTTAAGACTCATAAGATTCAAAGAGATTATTCAGTCAGTAAGCCTGCTTCCTTAAAACCATGCGGGATCACACGTATCTTCAGTAAGGCTCCTTCAGTAATCTATCATAATACAAAATAGGTTACAAACAAGAAATTGTTCCACAGTTTAAATTTCTTGAGTTTATATTTTGCTGTTGTTCTTTTCATCTTCAAAACAACTGTTCATTTATTTCCCTAAAAAGCAACATGGGGACAAAGGTATTATGGTACATTGCAAGCTAATATGGACTCAATTTTCAGAATAGTAAATGAAGAATGGATAACTCCTTTAGGACAGTGCTATTCAGAAGGCAGTTTATGTGCTGCTGCCAGTCTGTGATCTCTTTAATAGGTCCATGGTAAAATAAGGAACTTTGGAAAGTAAATCAACTACCTCACGAAGCCCACTCCATGGTTTTCTCATAGAAAGACACTTTTAATGAAGGAAGGAGCGCAAACTCCCTATCTCATCACAGACTAGCACTCTGGTTAGCCCTACAATAGGATTCAAATTTCTCTGACCCTAGTTGTAGTATTCTCCCACTCCTTTCTTTAAAGCTAGCAAGATAAAACAGTTGATGTCAATCGTAAAGTAAGTTTGAAAGTGTGCTTAGAATCCTGTCTTCCATTACTTTTCTAAGAACAGAGCAGAATGACAAGGAGCCAGAATGTAAATATAACAAACCTGATTCTGCAACTTACCCCCCACCAAAAAAAAAATCCATTACTTTAGTCACTTTAAATATTTAGTGTAAGAAAATAGTTTCATTTGAATTTCAAAGATTCTGGCAACTTGTCAGTATTTCATTACTCTATTTTTTCAAAGGCATAATACTTTCATAATCCATTTCCTATTAAAATTCTATAAAGGGAACAATAATTTTTAAAGTATTTCTAAGTATCCATATAGACCGATAAGATTTTTTATGGGCTTTTGTTGTATTTCTCTTTCAAGTTATTATTCTACCAGGGCACATACTGGGAATATGAAAAAGACGTCTGGGGTGAGCCTATGTCCACAAAGCCAACATTTTCATTAGACTTATGAATTTTTCCTTATTCAAGGAAAATCTTTATAGGTCAAATGTTGCCACAGGAAAAAGTGAATTCATTT